ATCATGTGTAGTATTAATTGTAGTATTAAAAGTACCATCAGGTGTAGTACTGTGTAGTATTAATTGTAGTATTAACAGTACCATCATGTGTAGTACTGTGTAGTATTAATTGTAGTATTAAAAGTACCATCATGTGTAGTACTGTGTAGTATTAATTGTAGTATTAACAGTACCATCATGTGTAGTATTAATTGTAGTATTAACAGTACCATCATGTGTAGTATTAATTGTAGTATTAACAGTACCATCATGTGTAGTATTAATTGTAGTATTAACAGTACCATCATGTGTAGTACTGTGTAGTATTAATTGTAGTATTAACAGTACCATCATGTGTAGTACTGTGTAGTATTAATTGTAGTATTAAAAGTACCATCATGTGTAGTACTGTGTAGTATTAATTGTAGTATTAAAAGTACCATCATGTGTAGTACTGTGTAGTATTAATTGTAGTATTAACAGTACCATCATGTGTAGTATTAATTGTAGTATTAAAAGTACCATCAGGTGTAGTACTGTGTAGTATTAATTGTAGTATTAACAGTACCATCATGTGTAGTACTGTGTAGTATTAATTGTAGTATTAAAAGTACCATCATGTGTAGTACTGTGTAGTATTAATTGTAGTATTAACAGTACCATCATGTGTAGTATTAATTGTAGTATTAACAGTACCATCATGTGTAGTATTAATTGTAGTATTAACAGTACCATCATGTGTAGTATTAATTGTAGTATTAACAGTACCATCATGTGTAGTACTGTGTAGTATTAATTGTAGTATTAAAAGTACCATCATGTGTAGTATTAATTGTAGTATTAACAGTACCATCATGTGTAGTATTAATTGTAGTATTAACAGTACCATCATGTGTAGTATTAATTGTAGTATTAACAGTACCATCATGTGTAGTACTGTGTAGTATTAATTGTAGTATTAACAGTACCATCATGTGTAGTACTGTGTAGTATTAATTGTAGTATTAAAAGTACCATCATGTGTAGTACTGTGTAGTATTAATTGTAGTATTAAAAGTACCATCATGTGTAGTACTGTGTAGTATAAATTGTAGTATTAACAGTACCATCATGTGTAGTATTAATTGTAGTATTAACAGTACCATCATGTGTAGTATTAATTGTAGTATTAACAGTACCATCATGTGTAGTATTAATTGTAGTATTAACAGTACCATCATGTGTAGTACTGTGTAGTATTAATTGTAGTATTAAAAGTACCATCATGTGTAGTATTAATTGTAGTATTAACAGTACCATCATGTGTAGTATTAATTGTAGTATTAACAGTACCATCATGTGTAGTATTAATTGTAGTATTAACAGTACCATCATGTGTAGTATTAATTGTAGTATTAAAAGTACCATCATGTGTAGTATTAATTGTAGTATTAACAGTACCATCATGTGTAGTATTAATTGTAGTATTAACAGTACCATCATGTGTAGTATTAATTGTAGTATTAAAAGTACCATCATGTGTAGTATTAATTGTAGTATTAACAGTACCATCATGTGTAGTATTAATTGTAGTATTAACAGTACCATCATGTGTAGTATTAATTGTAGTATTAACAGTACCATCATGTGTAGTATTAATTGTAGTATTAAAAGTACCATCATGTGTAGTACTGTGTAGTATTAATTGTAGTATTAACAGTACCATCATGTGTAGTACTCTGCATGATGCACAGTTCTGTGTCTCGGGTCTTTTTCTGTCCCTTCAGTGTCGAAGGCTCTCCAGGAGTTTGATTTGGCTCTGAGAGGAAAGAAGAAGAGAGAGAAGTTCCTGAGGGACGGGAAGAAGAAACAGCTGACGGTAAAATCAATCACTGATTGATCGGAGATCAATCTGATCGTCTGAGCGTGCTCAGTGTGTCCTCTTTGTCCCAGTCTGAGGAGCGCGCTCAGTTTGAGATTCTGAAAGCTCAGATGTTCGCTGAGCGAGCCGCCAAGCGGGATAGACGGCCGAAGAAAGCCAGAGCCATGCCTGAAGACGAGCCGCCACTGAAAGGTCAGAAACACAATACATGGAGACCTGACCAGAACCTCCAGAACCATGAACCCAACTGATGCAGAATGACCTGCTTCTGTCTGCAGCAACCAATCAGAAAGGAGCAGCTAAAGGCAGGAAGTCGGTGTTTGATGAAGAGTTGACCAACACCAGCAGGAAGTCCCTGAAAAACTACAGAGCCGGGTGAGACTGGTTATCTGCTGGTTATCTGCTAGTTATCTACTGGTTATCTGCTGGTTATCTGCTGGTTATCTACTGGTTATCTGCTAGTTATCTACTGGTTATCTACTAGTCATCTACCGGTTATCTACTGGTTATCTGCTGGTTATCTACTGGTCATCTACTGGTCATCTACTAGTCATCTACTGGTTATCTACTGGTTATCTGCTGGTTATCTACTAGTCATCTACTGGTTATCTACTGGTTATCTACTGGTCATCTACTGGTTATCTACTGGTCATCTACTAGTCATCTACTGGTTATCTACTGGTTATCTACTGGTCATCTACTGGTCATCTACTAGTCATCTACTGGTTATCTACTGGTTATCTGCTGGTTATCTACTGGTTATCTACTGGTCATCTGCTAGTTATCTACTAGTCATCTACTGGTTATCTGCTGGTTATCTACTGGTTATCTGCTAGTTACTAGTCATCTACCGGTTATCTACTGGTTATCTACTGGTCATCTACTGGTCATCTACTAGTTATCTACTGGTTATCTACTGGTCATCTACTGGTTATCTACTGGTTATCTGCTGGTTATCTACTAGTCATCTACTGGTTATCTACTGGTCATCTACTGGTTATCTACTGGTCATCTACTAGTCATCTACTGGTTATCTACTGGTTATCTGCTGGTTATCTACTGGTTATCTACTGGTCATCTGCTAGTTATCTACTAGTCATCTACTGGTTATCTGCTTGTTATCTACTGGTTATCTGCTAGTTATCTACTAGTCATCTACCGGTTATCTACTGGTCATCTACTGGTTATCTACTGGTCATCTACTAGTCATCTACTGGTTATCTACTGGTTATCTGCTGGTTATCTACTGGTTATCTACTGGTCATCTGCTAGTTATCTACTAGTCATCTACTGGTTATCTGCTGGTTATCTACTGGTTATCTGCTGGTTATCTACTAGTCATCTACTGGTTATCTACTGGTCATCTACTGGTTATCTACTGGTCATCTACTAGTCATCTACTGGTTATCTACTGGTTATCTGCTGGTTATCTACTGGTTATCTACTGGTCATCTGCTAGTTATCTACTAGTCATCTACTAGTCATCTACTGGTTATCTACTGGTTATCTGCTGGTTATCTACTGGTTATCTACTGGTCATCTGCTAGTTATCTACTAGTCATCTACTGGTTATCTACTGGTTATCTACTGGTCATCTACTGGTCATCTACTGGTTATCTACTGGTCATCTACTGGTTATCTACTGGTCATCTGCTAGTTATCTACTAGTCATCTACTGGTTATCTACTGGTTATCTACTGGTCATCTGCTAGTTATCTACTAGTCATCTACTGGTTATCTACTGGTTATCTACTGGTCATCTGCTGGTCATCTGCTAGTTATCTACTAGTCATCTACTGGTTATCTACTGGTTATCTACTGGTCATCTGCTGGTTATCTACTGGTTATCTACTGGTCATCTGCTGGTCATCTACTGGTTATCTACTGGTCATCTACTGGTCATCTGCTAGTTATCTACTAGTCATCTACTGGTTATCTACTGGTTATCTACTGGTTATCTACTGGTCATCTACTGGTTATCTACTGGTTATCTACTGGTCATCTACTAGTCATCTACTGGTTATCTACTGGTTATCTGCTGGTTATCTACTGGTTATCTACTGGTTATCTACTGGTCATCTACTGGTCATCTACTAGTCATCTACTGGTTATCTACTGGTTATCTGCTGGTTATCTACTGGTTATCTGCTGGTTATCTACTGGTTATCTACTGGTTATCTGCTGGTTATCTACTGGTCATCTGCTGGTTATCTACTGGTTATCTGCTAGTTATCTACTGGTTATCTACTGGTTATCTACTAGTTATCTACTGGTTATCTACTGGTCATCTACTGGTTATCTACTGGTCATCTGCTAGTTATCTACTAGTCATCTACTGGTTATCTACTGGTTATCTACTGGTTATCTACTAGTCATCTACTGGTTATCTACTGGTTATCTACTGGTCATCTGCTAGTTATCTACTAGTCATCTACTGGTTATCTACTGGTTATCTACTGGTTATCTGCTGGTTATCTACTGGTTATCTGCTAGTTATCTACTAGTCATCTACTGGTTATCTACTGGTTATCTACTGGTCATCTACTGGTTATCTACTGGTCATCTACTGGTTATCTACTGGTCATCTGCTAGTTATCTACTAGTCATCTACTGGTTATCTACTGGTTATCTACTGGTCATCTGCTGGTCATCTGCTAGTTATCTACTAGTCATCTACTGGTTATCTACTGGTTATCTACTGGTCATCTGCTGGTTATCTACTGGTTATCTACTGGTTATCTACTGGTCATCTGCTGGTCATCTACTGGTTATCTACTGGTCATCTACTGGTTATCTGCTAGTTATCTACTAGTCATCTACTGGTTATCTACTGGTTATCTACTGGTCATCTACTGGTCATCTACTGGTTATCTACTGGTCATCTACTGGTTATCTACTGGTCATCTGCTAGTTATCTACTAGTCATCTACTGGTTATCTACTGGTTATCTACTGGTCATCTGCTGGTCATCTGCTAGTTATCTACTAGTCATCTACTGGTTATCTACTGGTTATCTACTGGTCATCTGCTGGTTATCTACTGGTTATCTACTGGTTATCTACTGGTCATCTACTGGTCATCTGCTAGTTATCTACTAGTCATCTACTGGTTATCTACTGGTTATCTACTGGTCATCTGCTGGTTATCTACTGGTTATCTACTGGTCATCTGCTGGTCATCTGCTAGTTATCTACTAGTCATCTACTGGTTATCTACTGGTTATCTACTGGTCATCTGCTGGTTATCTACTGGTTATCTACTGGTTATCTACTGGTTATCTACTGGTCATCTACTGGTCATCTGCTAGTTATCTACTAGTCATCTACTGGTTATCTACTGGTTATCTACTGGTCATCTGCTGGTTATCTACTGGTTATCTACTGGTCATCTGCTGGTCATCTGCTAGTTATCTACTAGTCATCTACTGGTTATCTACTGGTTATCTACTGGTCATCTGCTGGTTATCTACTGGTTATCTACTGGTTATCTACTGGTTATCTACTGGTCATCTGCTAGTTATCTACTAGTCATCTACTGGTTATCTACTGGTTATCTACTGGTCATCTGCTGGTTATCTACTGGTTATCTACTGGTCATCTGCTAGTTATCTACTAGTCATCTACTGGTTATCTACTGGTCATCTACTGGTCATCTGCTAGTTATCTACTAGTCATCTACTGGTTATCTACTGGTCATCTGCTGCTAATCTGCTGGTTATCTGATGGTTATCTGTTAATTGGTTATCGTCTGTTTTTTCTGACCTCTTCCTCCTTCAGGCCATCCTTTGCAGACAGGAAGCGTCTCGGCTTGGACAGGAAGCGGTCAGGTGGCTCAAGGTAAGCCTCATGTTTGGGCTTTGGTGATAGTTCTGTTCGACCCAGTTAAAAGGTTCTGTTTTGTTCCACAGGTTCAGGAAGAAGAAGTGAAAACAGAGAAACCAGTTCTCCATGTCTTTATGTTGTTCTGCACCAGATGATAAATAAAGTTTGTTTCAAAGTGGTGGTGATTCTGGTTGGTCATGTGACCGGCTGTGATGGTCCAATTTGACTCATGGGACATTTAAATGCCTGGATACCATCACTGGTTCTGTTGGGCTGCTCTGGTGGTTTGGAGGCAGAACCGGCTTGTCACTGGCTCCTGAAAAGTTACTGCTGCCATCTGGTGGACAGGATGTGCATCTTCAGATGAGTTTGGACCTTCAGAACCACATTTGCAGTACTACCTGTTTTTAATACAGATGTATGAAATGTAGATGCTTCTATTTTAGTTTGTTTTCAGGTTTAGTTTAATCAAAAATAAATATTTGTTGCATTTAACTAAAATGTCAGAATTAGAAAACATACATTTGGGGAAGCTACAAAAAATGAAAAACTCATTTCATTAAGTGGGATTTATGTATTCAGGGAGGAATAATTTCCACCAAAATGGATTTGATATTTTGCACGTACATTATGAATTCCCAATTCAGCAATCAAATATAAAAATCTGATGAAAAAACAGACATTTTAATTTAACAGTCTGAATAAGTGCATAATTTTTTAAAAGTCATGATACGTTTTGACAAATTTTATGAATAAACTAGTTATTTTTTTTTTCATTTATTTGCCTTTTTTAGTTAAATTGCTTTTCAGTGTCTCGTTTTTTTTCTCTTATCTATAATGAATAACCTCGTTTGTTCATTCATTTTTATTCTTCTCTTCCATGTGCCTGAGCTCTTTCCAAGTTTCAATACATTGATGTCATATTTCTTGTGTGTATATAATGTATGTTTTTTTTTTTTTTTTTTTTTTTGCTTTCTGACAGAAACCAAATATTTTTCAACGTGTTGAAACAAACAGGTTCTTTATAAACCAATATTTCTGCCATTGTTTTCAGTTTTTGTGGAATGGATTTAAACACATTTTAACATTTTAAGTCATTTTGTGTCAAACTGCTGGTCTGGGCCCAAATCCGGCCAGAGGGACGCATAAACAGAATCTTCAAGATAAGTTCATCACATCAATCAAAGCAGTTTTTATCAATGTGCCAAATCACATCAATCAGTTTTTCATTATTCTAATTTTGTAAAAAGGGTTAGGGTTAAAGACTTAAAAACTTTGGGTTAAAGTGATGCCAACTCCCACCTGCAGGGGGCAGTATGCTTTACTACTGCAGTTATGTTAGTGAATTTATAGTTGATATGGTGAACAGCAAAACCTCTGCAAAACTTCTTCAAATATTTCTAAATTATTCCCACAAAACCCTGGAGATCTGATCAGGTTGATATGTTTGTTTTATCGGTTTATGGATTTTATCATCCTGCACTTTGAACCCTCAGACCAGCTGGAAATCCCCATGAGGTCAAAGGTCAGATACAGAACTCAGAACCAAACGAGATTGGTCCCAGAAGATCTGGGCCCAGAATCTGAGAGAAGAGAAGATGGCTGAGGGTCAACATGAGGGTGATTTATTTGCACCAGAACCAAAGAGACGGACATGTTCTGATCGGCTTTGTCAGAAGGACCGGTTCCGGTCCGGTTCCCGGAGGTTTTGTGCTGGAGATCCAAATCAGGAGACAAAATGTTTCAGAAAAAATCATAAATAAAAAGTTGTGAGATTCTGATTTAAATCCAAACCAGGCTGGTTGCCATGGTCAGTCGGTCAGGCAGACGTTCGTGAACAGAGCGAGTCTGATTGGTCAGTGGGAACCAATCAGGTGCGAGCGTGCGCTTTATACGCGGTGACGTCATCAGTCCGTCGTGTTTTCGCACAAAGCTTCAGTCGGAACCCGCAGTTGGTGTCCGAGTGACGGTCTGAGTGGAACAGAGGGGTTCTGCTGGTTCGGGTTCGGTTCTGCTGGTTCGGGTTCGGTTCTGCTGGTTCGGGTTCGGTTCTGCTGGTTCGGGTTCGGTTCGGCCTACTTGGTGCCGGTCCAGGCCCGATCCGAGTGCGGGGAGGGGGCGCACAGCTCGGAGTCGGAGTCGGACTCCCCCTGGGCGATGTAGGGCCGGCCGGCGGCCGGCTGCGGCTGGCCCGGCCCGGCGGACGGGTAGAACCCGCTGTTCAGAAAGTCCAGGTTCTCCCGGGACTGGGAGATGGAGAACCCGCTGAAGGAGCGCTCCAGCTCCTCGTGGTCCACGGACGGGATGGACACCGAGGTGTCGCTGTCGGGTTTCGCCTCGTCCCCGTTCCGGTCCGGTCCGGCCCGCTCCCCGGCGCTGTGCCGGCCGGCTCGGTTCCCGCCGTGTCTCTCTCCGGCTGGAGGCGGCGGCAGGCGGACCAGCGAAGCGTCGCCCACGGGGCTCGGGGTGTTGCCATGGCTACGCTGTGGAGGGGGAGGGGCCTGCTGGTGGAGCTGGGAGCTGATTGGCTGCCAGGAGGTGGAGGGCGTGCAGGTGGGGGCGGCGTGGTTCCTGTGTCCCGTGGAGCTGCTGGAGCGAACCATCCGGGTCACAGAGCGGGTCCTGTCCACGTGGTCGCCTGGCAACACCCTGCAGACACCAACAAACAGGAAGTGGAGATTCTGATCGAAGCCCAGAATCCCAGGATTCTGGAATTCCATCCTGGAGTCCCAGGATCCTGGAATCCCAGAATCCTGGAATCCCAGAATCCTGGAATCCCAGAATCCTGGAGTCCCAGGATCCTGGAATCCCAGGATCCTGGAATCCCAGGATCCACAACCCAGTTTTCACTTCCACATGAACAAAAACGTTTAGACGATATTAATATGAGACGCTGCCTCAAAACCATCTGCTAAACTCCAGACCCCACTGGGTCAGGAGCTGCTGCCGCTCCAGCCAGCGAGGCGCGGGGTCACCTGGACGGGGTCACTGGACGGGGTCACCTGGACGGGTCGCCTGGACGGGGTCACCTGGACGGGGTCGCCTGGACGGGGTCACCTGGACGGGGTCGCCTGGACGGGGTCACCTGAACTCTAACCTCAGATTTAAAGATTCTTTCTAAAAAAATAAATCTTAAATATTCCTCCCCAACTAAAAAAACTAACAACTATTAACATGCATAACGAGGTCAGAGGGGAAAAACAAAACCACCGTAAAATAGAAAAATAATCAAACGTGGTTTTATATCTCATTCAGTTTTGGTTGAAAAACGATTTGTCAATGTTTTTCAGGAATTTACAAAATAATAAAAACTAATTTTAAAATGTTTTTTCATCTGGAAGAGATTTTCTAAAACACCATGTATGAATGTAAAATGTGTCAGTTTTCTATTTAGAAAGTCAACAACACATTGAGTCAGTTGTAGTTCCCATGCCAGGCCACCAGACGGCGCTGTGATTTTAGCATGTTATTGAACACGCTAATCTTTTGACCCTTTCATTACATTGTAAACCGTCACCCATCCCTGGGGAATCAATGCAGAAATTGTGTTAAGTTGTTAAACGCAGCACAAAATATTTATTTTTGTCTTTTTCTTCCGATATGTACATTTAAAAAACTACGTCATAAAAGCATTCACCACTTGAATCTTTTCACTTTACAACCACAAACTTTAGTAGATTGAATTCTTGGGAGGTCAGTGAAAAGAAATGATGAAGTATTTAAAATAAGTTACAAATATAAATCTAAAAAGTGCGGCATGCAAAGTCCAAACCATTTGTTACCAGCTTTGCATGGCTTTGCAGACTGAAATAAGTAATTGTTTTTATTAGTGAAACAGCTGCTGTCAGACTGAATGAACAGTAACTGGTACTGTTTTACTACAGAATGTAAAAATCATCTACATCTGGACTTTCGCTAGGCCATTCCAACATGAAAATGCTTGATTGGAAACCATCAATTGTGGCTCTGGCTTGTTGGGAGTGGTCGTTATTTTGGAAGTTGTTAGTCTGTAGCTGCTTTTCATTCAGAATTTTCCTGTTTTTGTCTTAATTTATCTTTCCATTAACTTTATTTTCCCGCAGCATGACACTGCCACCGCAGCATTGTACAGGACGAATGAGGCGATGTGTGCCTCCATGCACTGGCTAAATGTTTCAGTCCCCAGACTTTAGGAAAGCATCATGACACACTCACTGCAGGATCTTGGAGAGGGACTGGTTCTTCTCCTGCAGGTCCACTGGACTGTGGTACGGCGGCGCCGGGTCCGGTTCCTTCGACCCAAAGTAGGCGTCCGTCTCTGCCTGAGGGATTCCCATTCGCTGAATGTAGATGTTCACCAGAAAGTCCAGCTTCCTCTCCATGGACAGGACCTGCAGGACATCAGAGTTTAGTCCAGTTCCAGACCTGCATCAGGACAGAGATGCAGGTCTTACTGGTGGTTACCAGTCTTACTGGTTAAAGACCAGTAACCACCAGTGGCGCTTAACCACCACGTTTAAAATCCAGAAAACCAGGAAATGCTGCCAGAGCGGAGGACACCTGCTTCTCCACCTTCCCCAGACGTCCCATCATGCTCGGGTCTTCAGGTATCTCCTCTCCACCTGATTTGGGACGGTCCTTGTCTGCAATGGGGGTTCCTCTTCCCACGATCTGATCCACCCTGCCAGAACCAGACAGAACCCGGTCACAGCTGATTCAGAGTCGGAGCGGCGAGGCACTGAGGCCCGGAGCCTTACCGGGCCTGGAGGTTCTTGATGCGGGCCAGCATGTCCAGGTGTCCGGCCGAGTACTGCTCGATCACGTCCATGACGTCGTAGGGACGGAGCTCTCCTTGAACTTCCTCTTGGACACCATGAAGCGCATGATGCTGCCGGAGACAAGCAAGCGTCACCACAGCTGGACTCGGCCCGGGTTCTGCCGGTTCTGGTCTGGAGCACAGGCCCACAACAGAGCCGGTTGTCTGGACCGGTCATTGGCCAGGAACTGAACTGGATCTGGTCCAGTGCAGTGGTTCTGTTCTTTCAGAGCAGAACCTTGGTGCACAGCATCAATGGTCTGTGAATCCTTTTGCTCAAATGTTTAATTCAATTCACCAAAAACACCAGCTCTATCAAACACACAAACTTATGAATAATATTCACTCGTCTGGATTGTGATAAATCTAAAAGTCCAGAACTT